TCTGGTCCCACTTCTAAACGTCAATGACAATCTTCTAATGATGTTACTTTGTTACCTTCCCTTTCTACTTGTAAAAGATCGACACATCATGCGTTCCCTCTCCACACTCAGTTTCAGACCACACAATGGACTAAATTCTTTACATTAAGACAAACCTCTTCTACTGCCTATCTTTCCGACCATAGTATTGGCAAAGTGCTCCTATGCCACGTTGGTAGAGATATTTCCTTTCATGCTCTTAAGAGTGGTATGCGCATCATCACAGTCCAGAATTCTACCCAAGCTCATGATCTTTCTCTTCTTTCACATATCGATACTATTCCCTCAATTCTTGTAGGGGTACTGTTATTCCGCCCCATACCATAGTCCAGCAGAATTTCCAGACATGTAGCACTGACATTCTCGAACAGCTGGAACTCCAAGATCTCCCAATTCTCAAGGTAGACACTTATGTTCTTCCTGCCCGTGGGCGAAGACGATACCCTTGCAATGTGGCTCATTTAGCTTTTGACAGCCGTGAACTCCCATCCTCTGTTTATGTAGCAGGACATCGGTTACAAGTTCGGAAAGTGATCCCTACACTGCAACAGTGTAGGAATTGCTGGCGATTTGGCCACCCAGCAAAATATTGCAGATCTATAGCGGAATGCCCAGTCTGTGGTGCCGATGACCATTCTAATACATCTTGCAGTTGAACTCCCTCTTGCCTTAATTGTCATGAGGCTCACCCTTCGTACTCTCGCTGTTGCCAAGTCTACTTAAATGAGCGGAAAATTCGTTGCCTCAAAGAGGCAGAAGGTCTCCCTTATGCTATGGCGGTTTCTCTTCTCCAAGGAAGACTGCCTCGTGTTTCTTATTCTCATGTTTCAAAGTGCCCCCCCACTTCTGGGGTCACATCTTCTGCAGCCTCCTATGCGGTTGCCAGTCCCATAGTCACTCCTGTATCTAATTCTTTTGCTGTCCTGGGCTCAGACATCCCTACTTCAACTCCTCAGTCTGTCCTCACTTCTTCGTATCCTCCCTCACAAACCTCGGTATCGACAAGACCTTGTACGACACCTCCTCCCAATCGTCCCTCTACTTCTCAGAGGCCCAAAAAATCTCCTTTAACCCCTCCTTCCCTTCATCCACCTCCACATTTTACCTTACTGGTCTCTGTACCTGAGTCTTCCCCTTTCACTGGCTCTGTTACAAGTGTGGAGGTTCATCCTCCTCCTCGTACTGTGCTTTCCCTTCCTCCCCTGTCCCCTCCCAAGTTTCTTCCTCTTCTGGCACCTCCCAGGTTTCTGCCTCTTCTGTCCCCTCCCACACTTCTCCAGTTCCCTCCATCCTTTCGCCCCCCCTACCTTGGTACAGTCCATTACAGCTCTGATCTTTACTCAAACTCCTCCTCCTTCCATCTCCAATATTGTCTCCCATACGACGTCTCTGAACTCCGAAACACTTGAAGCAATCTCTGAATATATTGCAGAGACCAAACCATCAATGGACACTGATCCACCCTCTGTTCCTTCTCTTTCCTCTTCTCCATCTGCGCAACTCCTTTCTTCACACCGCACCGTTCCTTCGCTACTTGAACGTTTTCCTTTGCCACCGCATGTGGACTTTTCTAACCCCTCTAGTCCATAGTCCATTACAGCTCTGATCTTTACTCAAACTCCTCCTCCTTCCATCTCCAATATTGTCTCCCATACGACGTCTCTGAACTCCGAAACACTTGAAGCAATCTCTGAATATATTGCAGAGACCAAACCATCAATGGACACTGATCCACCCTCTGTTCCTTCTCTTTCCTCTTCTCCATCTGCGCAACTCCTTTCTTCACACCGCACCGTTCCTTCGCTACTTGAACGTTTTCCTTTGCCACCGCATGTGGACTTTTCTAACCCCTCTAGTCCATAGGTACCCTTACCTGCGGATTTCAGGTATCTTTATCGTTGCTAATCATGGCCTATTTACAATGGAATATTTGCGGCCTCAGGCGTAATCGGGGTGAGCTTCAGATGTTGCTCTCCTAGGTTTTCCTTGTTGGTGTTTGCTTACAGGAACCAAAATTACACTCTGCCATTATCTATCCTATCTCAGGCTATAATTTATTGTATTCTTCAGATCCTTTTCCTGATGGGACCTTTAATGATAGTGCCCTTCTTCTACACACTGATATTCCGTAACATCAGCTATTTGTTTGTACTTCGCTGCATTACACAGCAGCCCGTATCCACTTGCATAGGTGTATAGACACTCCTGCTCATTGATAGTCTCACCTTTTCAGGCATGCTCTATCCCAGATATTGACTTTCTTGCTTCCGTCGATTACGCCACCACTTCTGTTACTTGCAATGTTAATGCCATCATTTCCTCTGGGGGGGCCTCACTGTGTGTCCCGTTGGCAATTCAGGTTAGAGGCTTTTTCGGCTACCCACCCCCTCCATGTTTTTAAATACAGGTATTCACCCCATTTTGATCCTCGACTCAACTCTCTCTTGCAGCGATCTCTCGGTCTGCTCTTCGCTCTGCGCAATAGAGCTTTCACCTGGTCTGTTCTCCCGGATTGTTTTTTTTATACATGACAGCAATCATTTCCCAATCATTGTTACTTCCCCTTCATGTTCACCACCTCTTCGTAACCCACAATGGCAATTTGATCAGGCAAATTGGAACCTTTACTCACAACTAACTGTTTTTAGTAAGGTTCCTTCTTCGTCCTCCATTGATGAGCTTTTACACCTCTTCTCATCCTCCGTTTTAACCGCAGCTTCTCATGTTCTTTCCATGTTCAGGTTAATAATGTGCTCTCCCCGGACTTTATCCAAGCTGAAGGTGTCCCCCAGGGATGTGTTCTGAGCACAACACTTTTTCTCCTTGCTATAAATGATTTGGCCTCTAGTCTTCCATCCAATATTTGGTCATCACTCAATGTTGATGACTTTGCTATTGCATGTGCAGGCGCTGACTGTCACCTCATTACAGTTTCTCTCCAACATGCGGTCGACTGTGTTTCAATTGGGCCACCACACATGGGTTTTAAATTTCCAGTACCAAAACTCACCAAATTACTTTTCACTAGGAGCCATGTCAACTCCGATCATCCTTTGTACCTCTATGGCTCCCGTATCCTTGTATGTGATACAGTCAGTTTCTAGGCCCTCCTGTTTGACCGTAGTTATCCTGTAAACCTCACATTACCCTCTTGATAGGCAACTTGTCCACAGCCGGCTGAACCATCTTGATAACCTTGCCTCATCTTTCATGGAGGCTGATCGTCGAACTCTCCTTCACTACATTCTGCCCTCATTTTATCGAAACTTGATTTATGGTGACGCAGATCTATTTCAGCGCCTCTCTGCTACTCTCTCTAGCCTTAACCCCATTCATCACAAGGATTACGTTTTATGCTTGGTGCTTTTCGCTCGTCCTCTGTATGAGAGCCTCTATGCAGAAGGCTAAACGTTCATCCCTTATCCGTCGCCCATGATGCCATTGCCTTCGCTACCATTACGCTCTCATGACTCCGCAATCCTTCCATTATAGAATGGTCACTGATATCAGTAAACATTATTTGTTCGCTGCCCTGTTTGCTCCATCCCTTCCTCCCTTGCCTTCATTCGTCTTCTTGTCTTCTCTTCAATTACCACCTCTCTATTTCATGTAGCATTCACTTTTCCCCTACCCCGTGGGAAGTTCCAGCGATCGAGTCTGTTCCTTTCTCAATCCCTTGACTTAAAAGCCCAACTGTCTACTGTAGCCTCCCACTCTCTATTTCTGCCACTCCACTCTCATTCTCATGCAATTGCAGTGTTTACACAGATGGCGCTACAGTCTTCTGAAGGCTTAGGATTCGCAGCAGTTGTTTCCGGACAGCGTCGTACTTAAAATAAAAAAAAAAGAAAAAAAACGAGGGCATTTACTGTCTGCGGCTAGTATCTTTACTGCTGAATTGTTATGCCATTCTTGCAGACACCTTATCCGTATGCATCTATGCTGTTGTTCACATTAGTGGTTGTCCTCAGACTCCCTTCGTGCTTTACAGGCTATACAAAAATTTGATACACCTCACCCGTAGTCCTCCGTATCTACTTTTGGCTACGCCGCATCTTTACCAGCATAAAGATATTGTTTTTTGGTGGTCCCTGGTCATGTTACGTACAGGGCAATGAACAGGCAGAGCACTGGCTGGCACAGTCAGCAGCACTGACTAACCAGTTTCTTATAGAGGTGTCCCATTTACGGACTATTTTGCTGCAAATACTTCCACCTTCACACCCGTTGGCATACAACGTTGGTCCTACTATGCTCGGCAACAAACTTCATCTATTAAACCGAGTATAGTTACTGGTCTGTCTTCTTATCACCAGGGTCGAGTTTGGGAGACTACTCTCACGCCGACTTCGCATTGGCCCATACTCGTCTACACATGGAATCTCATGGAGAGGCCTCTTGCTCCTCTCTGTGAGAATTGCCATGCTCCATTATCAGTCAGCCACAATTCTGTTGGACTGCCCACTTAACAACGTGCATTCTGAATTTACCTCTGTTGGTCGTCTCGCTCCGCTGCTCTCTTTTACCTTCTTTTCTCGCTGTGGACCCCCTTTCATTGGGTTTCTTTGACTTTTTGAAAAACAACTGCTTACTTCACAATTTTGTCCCTTACCCTTTCTACTTCAATCTCTTGCTACCCTCCCCCCCCGTACTTCCCCCTCCCCCGCTTTTTTCTGAACCCTGCTTACATCCCCCCCCCTTCGCCATCCAATCCCTCGTTCCCTTTCCCCTCCCCTGCAGGCTGTATACCCCCTTGTGGCTTAGGTTCTTTTTGTTTAAAAAATAATAATATCAATGGAAAAAAAAGTTTAAAAAAATGTGACTGACAGTGGTCAAAAATCACTTCAAACAAAATTAAAAAAACTCAACTAAAAGTTTATGTAATTAAAAAATATTTTTTAAACATCATTTTTTAAAAAACCAAAAAATTATATCAATATTGAGCATTAAGATTACATTACCTTCTATAATATAGAAAAATTTTAACCCCTGGTGTCCCATGCTACCACACCTTTGACAAGCATTGGTAGTCTTTTTATGGATTGTCGAGTTATCTGAAATAATTTGAAAATTATATTAATTTGAAAAGATACATAAATTCTTTAAAAAAAAGTTAATAGAATTCTTACTTTCTCAACTTTTTGAGGCTCTTGTGAAAATACTATTTCTTTACTTTTTCTTAGTCATATTTTTAATTTTAGCTTCCTCTTCGAGGGGGGTCCATGGCATGGTGAAAAGTCTTTGGTCTGAGGAATTAGGGCTGTCGGTTCCTTCCTCAAAACCCAACTAATTTTCCCCCCCCCAACCCCCCTTCCCTATCCAAATTTCCCCTTTTTTTTTTTTTTGGGTTTGGGGGGGGGGGGGGGGGGGGGGGGGGGTTTTTCCCAGGGGTGTAGTTTCCCAGATGGGGAAGGGTACCGGGTCCATCCCCTTCTTTGAGGTCTTGGGGTGGTAGTTTTCCGTGGAATTGGTCATGGGGATGTCCCGACCTTTTCCGGTACCCGGAGGGTGGCTTTGGGTGTTTTTGGGTGACGGGGGTATCTCTGGGAAACCCCCTTTCAGATTCCCGGGGTGATGGCGAAAAGGGATGCTTTTTGTGGAATCTGGCTGCCCTCTTTTTGTCCCCCAGGTTGCTCGGAGATTGGGTTTCTTTCCCGGGTTTTGGGGTTTTCTAGCAGAAGGAAGGGTACGGCATGGATTTTTTCGCATTGGTTTATTCGGGGTGAGGTCCTTTGGGTGGGGGGGATTTTGGTCCCTTTTATTCCCCTAGGAACTTCCCCCCCGGTTCCCCCTTTTTTTATTCTTTTTTTTTTTTTTTCTTTTCTTCTTTTTTTTTTTTAAAAACAAAAAGAAAGAAGTAACTTAACCATGGAGCACCCGATCCATGACCCCGCTACCCCCGGGCCCCTTATTGTTACTGCACCCCATTCTGACCTCGCCTCATCTTTTGGCCACTCTTCGGACATTCCTAAGGCCCCTGAAATCTCTTGCTGGTGCTGTTTCATCACCTGCTTCAGGTGCCGGGGCTTCCACTGACTCCTTCAATTTGTCTGACCTCCACTCTCCTTTGGTATGCTTCCGGCCTCTCCCTCTATGGTCCCAGCCCGTCCCACGTCGGACCGACTCTGGTCCCACTTCTAAGCGCCAATGACAATCTCCTGATGATGTTACTTTGTTACCTTCCATTCTACTCGGAAAAGACCGACACGTCATGCACTCCCTCTCCACACTCAGTTTCAGATCATACAATGGACTAAATTCTTCACTTTACGACTGACTTCTTCTACTGGAGTTTACCTGGAGAGAGTTTCGGGGGTCAACGCCCCCGCGGCCCGGTCTGTGACCAGGCCTCCTGGTGGATCAGCGCCTGATCAACCAGGCTGTTGCTGCTGGCTGCACGCAAACCAACGTACGAGCCACAGCCCGGCTGATCAGGAACTGTCTTTAGGTGCTTGTCCAGTGCCAGCTTGAAGACTGCCAGGGGTCTGTTGGTAATCCCCCTTATGTGTGCTGGGAGGCAGTTGAACAGTCTCGGGCCCCTGACCTTATTGTATGGTCTCTTAACGTGCTAGTGACACCCCTGCTTTTCATTGGGGGGATGGTGCATCGTCTGCCAAGTCTTTTGCTTTCGTAGTGAGTGATTTTCGTGTGCAAGTTTGGTACTAGTCCCTCTAGGATTTTCCAGGTGTATATAATCATGTATCTCTCCCCCCTGCGTTCCAGGGAATACAGGTTTAGAAACCTCAAGCGCTCCCAGTAATTGAGGTGTTTTATCTCCGTTATGCGCGCCGTGAAAGTTCTCTGTACATTTTCTAGGTCGGCAATTTCACCTGCCTTGAAAGGTGCTGTTAGAGTGCAGCAATATTCCAGCCTAGATAGAACAAGTGACCTGAAAGGTGTCATCATGGGCTTGGCCTCCCTAGTTTTGAAGGTTCTCATTATCCATCCTGTCATTTTCCTAGCAGATGCGATTGATACAATGTTATGGTCCTTGAAGGTGAGATCCTCCGACATAATCACTCCTAGGTCTTTGGACGTTGGTGTTTCGCTCTATTTTGTGGCAGAATTTGTTTGTACTCTGATGAAGATTTAATTTCCCCATGTTTACCATATCTGAGTAATTGAAATTTCTCATCGTTGAACTTCATATTGTTTTCTGCAGCCCACTGAAAGATTTGGTTGATGTCCGCCTGGAGCCTTGCAGTGTCTGCAATGGAAGACACTGTCATGCAGATTCGGGTGTCATCTGCAAAGGAAGACACGGTGCTGTGGCTGACATCCTTGTCTATGTCGGATATGAGGATGAGGAACAAGATGGGAGCTAGTACTGTGCCTTGTGGGACAGAGCTTTTTTACCGTAGCTGCCTCGGACTTTACTCTGTTGACGACTACTCTCTGTGTTCTGTTAGTGAGGAAATTTTTAGATCCATCGACCGACTTTTCCTTTATTCCTTTAGCGCGCATTTTGTGCGCTATTACGCCATGGTCACACTTGTCGAAGGCTTTTGCAAAGTCTGTATATATTACATCTGGCATTCTTTTTGCTTCTAGTGCATTTAGGACTCTTGTCGTAGTGGATCCATTGTTGAAAGACAGGAGCGACCTGTACTAAACCCATGTTGCCGGGGTTGTGTAACTGATGGGTTTTCTAGATGGTGGTGATCTTGCTTCCTAGGACCTTTCAAGATTTTTATGTATATGGATGTTAGTGCTATGGTCTGATTCTTTGCGTTGCTTTACTGACCCCCTTTGAGGAGTGGTGCTATGTCTGTGTTTTAGTAACTGAGGGACGACCCCCGTGTCCATGCTCCCTCTCCATAGGATGGAAAAAGGCTCGTGATAGGGGCTTCTTGCAGTTCTTGATGAACACAGAGTTCCATAGTCTGGCCCTTGGGCAAGTGCATGGGCATGTCTTTTTATCGCCTGTTCGAAGTCATTGGCGTCCAGGATAACATCGGATAGGCTTGTGTTAGTCAATTTGTGGCTCTCTCATAAAAAATTCATTTTGGTCTTCGACTCTCATCTGCCAATCTTCCGACCATAGTAATGGCAAAGGCTCCTACAACCACGTTGGTAAGGATAATTTCTTTCAGACCATAAGAGTGGTAACGTTGCATCATCAGAGTCCAAGAATTCTCCCATGCTCATGATCTTTCTTCTGCTTTCACATATCAATACAATTCCTATCACTATCGAGAAAACATCATTCCCTCTATCCTTGTAGTGGTACTGTTATTCTGCCCAACCATAGAGCAACAGAATTTCCAGACATTTGGTATGACATTCTCGAACAGCTGGATACTCCAAGATCTCCCCAGTTCTCAAAGGTAGACACTTATGTTCTTCCTGCCCCGCCTGGGCGGAAGTGATACCCCTTGCAATGTGGCTCGTTTAGCTTTTGACAGCAGTGAACTCCCATCCCTCTGTTTATGTAGCGGCATCGGTTACAAGTTCAAGGTGATCCCTTACACCGGCAAACATTAGGAATTGGCTGGGCAATTTGGCCACCCAGCAAAAGTTGCAGAGCTATAGCGGGAATGGCCAGTCCTGGGTGGCCGATACCAATTCTAATACCTCTTGTCAGTCGACCTCCCTCTGCCTTAATTGATATGAGGCTCACCCTTCGTACTCTCGCCGGTGCCATTCCCACTTAAATGAGCGGGAAATTCGTTGCCTCCAAGAGGCAGAAGGTCTCCCTTATGCTAATGGCAATTTCTCATCTCCCGACTCCAAGGGAGACCTGCCCCGTGTTCTTATTCTCAATGTTACCAAAACGTCCCACCACTTCTGGGGTCACATCCTCTGCAATGCCTCCTCTGCAGTTGCCAGTCCCATAGTCCCACTCCTGTATCTAATTCTTTGTGTCCCCTGGGGGGTCAGACGCCCCTACTGTCAATGCCTCAGTCTGTTCTCGCTTCTTCGTCCTTCTCCCGCACAGCCGCGTTACGACCGAGATCTCGTACGACCCCTCCTCCCAATCATCCCTCTACTTCTCAGAGATCCACAAATCTCCTTTAACCCCTCCTTCCCTTCATCCACCTCCATATTTTACCTTCCCGGTCCCCTGTACCTAGGTCTTTCCCTTCACTGCATCCGTTTCTAAGTGTGGAGCTCCATCCTCCTCCCTCGTACTGTGGCCTTCCTCCCCTGTCCCCTCCAAGTTTCTTCATCTTCTGGCACCTCCCAGTTTCTGCCCTCTTTTGTCCCCTCCCACACTTCTCCAGTTCCCCCACCCTTTTGCCGCCCCCACCTTGGTACAGTCCATACTGCTCCGATCTTTACTCAAACCCTTCCTCCTTCCATCTCCAATATTGTCACCATACGATGTTCTGAACTCCGAAAACACTTGAAGCAATCTCAGAATATATTGCAGAGACCAAACACATCAATGGACACTGATCCACCCTCAGTTCCTTCTCTTTCCTCTTCTCCATCGCACAACTCCTTTCTTCACAACGCACCGTTCCTTGGCTACTTGAACGTTTCCTTTGCCCCCGCATGTGTCTTTTCTAACCCCTCTATCCTTAGGTACCCTTACCTGCGGATTTCTGTATCCTTTATCATTGCCAATCATGGCCCTATTTTACAGTGGAATATTCGCGGCCTCAGGGGTAATTGGTGAGCTTCAGATGTTGCACGCCCAGTTTTTCCCCTTTGGTGTTTGCTTAATGGAACAAAAAATTACATCTGCCGTTCTCTAATCCCATCTCAGGCTATAATTTATGTATACTTCAGATCCTTTTCCTGAATGGGACCTTAATGAAAGTGCCCTTCTTCTATGCACTGATATTCCGATCCACAGCGTATTGTTTGTACTCGCTGCCTTACACAGCAGCCATATCCACTTTGCAAGGTGGTAACACTCTTTTCTTTGTATCTCTCTCCTTCTCGGCATTATCTAACCCGGATATTGCCTTCTTGTTTTCATCATTACCGCCACCACTTCTGTTAGCTGGCGATTTTAGTTTCCCATCATTTCCCTGGGGGATCTCACTGTGATTTCCTGTGCATTCAGTTAGAGGCTTTTCTTGCTACCCACCCCCTCCCATGTTTT